AAAAAAACCATATGATCATTTCATTAGATGCTGAAAAAGCATTCGACAAAATTCAACACCCCTTTATGATAAAGGTCTTGGAGAGAATAGGGATACAAGGGTCATACCTAAATTTAATAAAAGCTATCTACAGCAAACCGACAGCTAACATTAAATTAAATGGAGAAAAACTCAAAGCCATCCCACTAAAATCAGGAACAAGACAAGGATGTCCACTCTCTCCATACCTCTTCAATATAGTGCTTGAAGTTCTAGCAATAGCAATAAGACAACATAAGGGGATCAAGGGAATAATAATTATTTTCATATGAGGTGATAAAATCAAGCTAATGTACAAAGAATAGTCCTAACATTCTAATTACTAAATATGACTTTATTGTCCAGTCCAATCATTCAGTAAATAGTTACTATACAGCTGAGTTGCAGATACTGTACTAGGTGCTAGAGTAATAAAACTGCAGTGTAAGTCATGTCTCTAATAAAAGACTTCTATCTGTAATATATAAAAACTTCAAATAACCCAATTTTCAAACTTTTATGAAAGATTGTAAAATACATCCTAAACAAATATTCACTAGCCAAATAATCTCATGAAAATGTGTTCAACATTGTACCACAGCATGCCAGTTAAAAGTACAATTAGATGCTGCCACTGGCTTTAAAAGAGCAAAATTTAAAAGACAATATAAGAGACATTGGCTTAGACCTGGGACATCCATATACTGCTGATAGGAATAAAAATTAGTGAACTTTAAAATCAGTAAGAGTGTCTTAAATGATAAGCGTACATTTCTCAAAGGCAGATAAATAACCATTACTGGTTTTTCACCTACGGAAATGAGTCAATGTTTATATAAATACATGTACACATCTGCTCAAATAAGATTTATTTACAATAGCCCATACTTCAATCAACAAATTAATGCATAAATTGTGGTTTATCCAAATGAAATATTGATACATGCTAATGCTTAAATAAATCTTGAAACGATTATCCTGAATGAGTCAGGTGATTAAAGATTTCATGCATTCTGATTTCCTTTATATAAAAATTTAAGTTTCACAGAAAGTAGTGGCTATTACTAGATGCTAAGTGAGGGCGGAAAGATGTTTCATGTGAGGGCAGGAGGCAATTCTGAGACCATGGGGTATGTGTTCATTACCTTGATTGTGTTATTGACTGAAGCGTCAAACATATATGGTCTATTATGTGGCAATTACTCATAATAAAATTCAAATGGAAATTTCAAAAAATTGTCTATAATGATTTGTAAAGTCTTTACTGGCCATGTTACACATGACATTTCTGTTTATTACAGCTGAACAGGCAAAACAAGAACTCCCATACCTACTATCCAATCCTATCTTATGCATTTCATTTTAAGTGAGGGATCCAGAAATGTCTATGAAATTTACTGTTAAGTGCATACTTCCTGAGAACCTGTTATCTCACTGGGAACCAAGTTAGGCAATTTCTCTTTTGATATTACAGTTAATGAAAGCATTGGTTCTTCCCCTGTTTCTCAGAATAGAAACTGGGACTAGCTGTTACACAATGTAGATACTTTCTTGATTAAATTGAACTCCACTTAAGCTACCTTGACCTATCAATAAAACATGTAAAATATGTACTTTCATCATTTATCAATGTACTTTTATCATTTCTTATTTGTATTTTATTAAAAATAAAAGTTCAAAAAAAAACTTTCCATGTATAAATACCTTTATTAGACAATAGACTAGTTACAATCAGGGAGAATACTTTCTATGTGACTGCAGTGGGTTTCAATTCCCAACTTTCATGTTTAGATTCATAAGGAAGGGTGCTATAGTAAATCCCATGTTCACCTGACTGTGAAGTTGCCTTCCTATATAGTTGCTTTCTCATGGAATCAAGTTATTGGGTAGCCTTCAAAGATGAGTTAATGTCCTCAATAACTGTTTGGTCTAAATTATAAACTACCTAGCTAAATATTAAGAATTATTTAATATCAATAACTGTATTGTACCATGTCTTCATGACAGAAGAGGAAGATATCACCCTACCCACGGTAGATTAGATTTCATGCTTTCTACTTTTATGTCTCTGGACAAATTACCAATCCTTGTGTGCTCTTTACAACTGAGTCACAGTTAATGTGCATTTTGATTGTTAGCTTCTCTGGGGCTATGTTTGTGTCTGTAAAATAGTTAACATGATTCAGGCATTTAACTGGAGATAATGCTTTCAATGTTGGTAGCTGAACGAGATTTAGCACATGAAAGAATAAACACAGAACTTTGAGTCATAGATAGATATGATGTTCCTTATAGTACTTTATGTATGGATCTTTTTGACAAGCAGGAGGAAGAATAAATACTAGAGCTCCTTTATGTTACAGGCTTCAGGAAGTACTGGTAAGAGGAGAAATGGCAGCCATTCACAAACTCTATCTGGTCTAAATCCTGTTTCTGCTACTTACAAGCTTTTCTTTCTAAAGAGCAAATGACAACTTCTCAGAAATGTTCTCCCTTATATCTAAAGAACTGGCAAACAAATAGGGGCCTCTGATTTAACTTCGGGGAAATGATAAAAAAAGAAAACATAAAACATATCAAAGTCTTCTACAAATTTGTAAAAGGACACATATGCATTTGAATGAGCTAGAAGACATGCCAAATTTAAAATTAAAAAGGTATTCCACACAGGAATAAGGTAATGTGGAGTCAAACTTGAGTTCTTCCTGAGGGAAGAGATGTGTTCTTTAATAAAGCGTGCTTTCTTTCCAGTACAGTTTCAGATTATAGTTCCGTAGGCTCCTTCACGCTGACTTCCATAGTGGCTAGGTGAAATGACATTTTAACCAGTGTAAGAATTCCCTTTTCCCACATCCTCATATTTGTTATTTGGTTTCTTTGTGGCTATTCCATCCTAGCTGTACCACTCCCGGACCAAGAGTACACAGAAAACAAAAGACTAACACAGAACTGTTAACCAAAAGATTCAGAGTCAATATACCATAGAGGTTTTTGCACATCCATGTTTTCTATATACAATTCACAATAGCCAAGTAAGGGCATCAGTTTAGGTGTCAGTTAATTAACAGAATGAACAAAACCATGGATATATCTAATGCAAGTTTTTTCAGTCATACCAATAAATAAATACATAAATAAAATGGGTCATCTGATGGAGGTGGGTCTTGTATCTTATCTGTTGATTTCATTGGTTAATAATAAAGAAACTGCCTCGGCCCTCATAGGACAGAAAATTAGGTAGGCGGAGTAGACAGAGGAGAAAAAGAAGCTGAGTGAGTGAGTCGCCATGATGCTCCCACTCCAGACAGACACAGGTTAAGATCCTCTCTGGTAAGCCAGCTCATGGGCTATACAGAATATTAGAAATGGGTTAGAACAATATGTAAGAGCTAGCCAATAAGAAACTGGACCTAGCCGGGCCAGGCAGTGTTTGAAAGAATACAGTTTCCGTGTAATTATTTCTGGGTATAAACTAGCCATGCGGGCGGCCGGGTGCCGGGGACGCAGCCCTGCCGCTCCTATTTCAACAGGTCATCCATAGGAAAACTGATGCAACTAGAGATTATATTAACAAAAATAAGGCAGATTAAAGAAATTAACTATTACATGCTCTCCATGTTTGTGAATTCCAGAATATATATATATATATATATATATATATATATATTACAAACTAAATATGAGGGAGGAAAAACAAAATGGGTGAATACAGTCAAAGTACATGACCTACTTAAAATAAATTGTCTTTATGAAGCCCAGAACCATGTGCAATGCATATGTTCCAGTTAAACAATAATAAAAATTAGAAAATAAAAATATATACTCTGTCTGGATTTTAGCTGCTCACTTATAGAAATTTAAAATGTCAAACGATGTATTCAAGAGGCATATGAGTTTACAGTCTGGAGAATTCACAGATTAGGGCATTCTTCTGATGTTTTAATTTCAACAGAACAGGTACTTAATATTGGAGGGACCTGCCACTCTTTCCAGTGTCAAGCGTTTATCTGAGGAGATGCTAAACGTTCATTATTGAGGTAGCCGTGGATCTCAGCAACTCAAAGAGCCTTAGCGCACCCTTCAGTAAATGATGAATGTGTTTCAAAGTATCTCTGCTCCAATTCCACCAGCTTTTAATTCAAGATTACAGCGATATTTCACATTGCTTAGACAGTAGAAAGCATCTCAAATATATATTATGAAACCCATTATCCTACCTGAAAGGGTTGCCTGCTGGAAATTGGGAGGTGTTTCCTTATCCATCTGTCGCCTTGATCCCCAAATATCTGCCACAGCAGCTGTCCCCTGGAATTGCTCCAGATTCTCTGGTAGACTGCCAGCTGGTAAATATGCTTTCCAAACATGTGGTAGTACAGGCGGAAGGTGCAGTTACTTGCTTCCGTGGCATTAAGGATCGGACTGAGTAAAACAGCTTTGTCTTGAAAACCCTGTGGCCCCGATGTTTCTATATAGAGGTAGTGTCCCGTGGCTGTGCCCAGAGTGTTATCCTTCATTGGGCCTGTGTTCAGTGTTGAAGTTGGACCCTGGTTCCTAGTCCAGTCGAAGTCATCTTCCACACTTTGTTCCCAGTTACAAATTCCATTTTCAAAGTCACACTGTAATTCAGGTGCTAAACATGGCATTAAACAATATCAAATTAGCGTAGGGGGAAAGAGGTGATTAAGAACACACACTGATAATTGAATCATGCAAAAGAAAGTTGTAGTTGTTTTTAAATGTGACACAAAATACAGTTATGAAAAGAGTAATTCCTAGGCATTGAATAATATTTCATGGAGTAAAGATGAAATGTTTAGGCAAGAATCTTCTTAAATATTTTTAATGTTAATTTATCTTCATTTTTTGTAACATAACCCGGGGCTTGTGATATAGCTTAGAGGTAAAGCATTGTCTAGCAAGCATAAGAACCTAAGTTTAATTTCCAGTGCAACTCTTACCATAACCTCAGGCAAATGGTCATGGTTGTTTTGTTGTAATACCTTTTTGACTGGGTACATTTTCAAATTTAGCTGAATGTGCCAACCAGAGCACGTTAAAGAAAAATAAAACCACTAAAGCTTACAAGTTACATATGAATTATTGATTTAATTGGCCCAAATAGTTTTAAAACCATGCATTGGGATTCTTATACTGGCTTTGGTGTGTGCACTTGTGTTTAGTTTATATGTTTGTGTGTGTTTTTGTTTTGTATACACACATGCTTCATAGGGGTACATGTGTTTGTTTGGAGGCCAGAGATGGATGCTATTTCAGACATCCAGCTATTCTCTTCTATAAACAACCACCTAATTATTGTGGTGTGCTGGGGGCAGTTTATGTTCACACCTTGTGCATGAGGGTACTTATTCCTCGTGTGTATGTGGAAGGAAGAAAAGGGCATCCATGTCTTCCTCTGTTATTTTTGGCCTTGATCTTTTCAGGTGGAGTCTTTCTGGTTGAACATGGAACCTGTGGGCTTATTATTGTAGTCTAGGCTAGCAGCCAATAAGCCGCAGTGATTCTCTTGTCTTGGCTCTTTCCATGCTGGGGTTATAGGTTTGTAGGGGATCATGCCAGCATCAGGACTGTTAAGTAGGTGCTGGGATCCATACTTCTGTCCTCATGCATCCACAGCAAGCAACGCAACTTCTGAGCCATCCCTTCTGCTCCTTCCAGTACTCACTGATGAGCTATATTAATTGACTAAGGGGTTCCGTCTCTGTTCTTAATCTCACTGCCATGGTTACTGAAGACTTTTACTTTAGGGTCTGGGATTTGAACTCAGAACCTCAGACAAGCAGTTTCCCCTCTGGGCCATCAGCCCAGTCCTTACATCAGTACTTTTTAATAAGCTCCCCCAGTGGTTCTAATAGAGCTGAGAGTTTCATTCTCTCACAATTTTAAATATTTAAGGATCACTTGGTTATCATGGAAAAAATTGCTTACATCAAAGTAAAAAGTCTCAAATACATCACTCACAGTCTATCAGACAAAGCCCACATATTTCCAGGTATTCAAGAGGATTCTGATGAGGGGCTCCCCAAAATCTCACTCCATGAGTGTTTTCATTTCTTCTCATCACAGCTCCAAATGTCTCTCTCTACACAGCTGTGCTCAAAGCATGCCACTGGGGAATGACAGCAGTACCATTCTTTCTTTATATAAAACCTCTTCGACCATTCCTATATTCCCATTTAATCTAAATTGTTATATCATAATCCTAATTATAATGGCTTACAGTTTTTCCTCATCTGTCTTTCCTCTTCTCGTATATCATCTTTTCTATATGTGCTCAATACTTGTGCCTTCTTCCATGTCTCATTTTGTCTCCTGTTGCACTATGTACAATATTGACTCTTCACTGTGTCTCATCAATAGTATTTTTCTTTTTTCTCTGATATTTTCATATTATTCTGCTTTATCGCTAGTACATACTAATTATACAAAATAATGTGTCTCATTATGACATTTTCATACAAGCATATAACATATTTTGAATTTATCCACTGTCCTCTATTACCCTTCCTTGACATCCTGTGGTAGTTTGAATGGGAATTGTCCCCATAGGCTCATACAATTGAATGTTTGATTCCTCAGTTGGTGGAACTGTTTGATGAGAATTAGAATGTGTGACCTGTTGGAGGAAGTGTGTCATTAAGGCAGGTTTTGAGATTTCAAAAGCCCACTCATTCTGAATGAGCTCTTTTGGCATCCTGCTTGTGGATGATGATGTCAACTCTTATCTATTATTTTAATGCGGTGACTTTCTGCCTGCTTCCCTCCTATCATGGTAATAATCTCTCATGCTCTTACATGTAAGTCATTGATAAATTCTTTCTTCTATAAGATGCTTTGGTCATGGTGTCTTATCACAACAATAGAAAAGTAATTAAGACAGAAGATGGTACCAGGGAATAGGCTATTGCTGTGACAGATGTGACCATGCTGGTTTTTTTAGGAATGTGGAAGACTTGAGAACCTTGGACTAGGAAAGTGGCTAAACACTGTAAGCATAAATTAATGGTATACCCCAGTAAGAGCTTAGAAGACAAAATGGTGGCCCATCTCAAGAGGTGTCATGGGGAAAATATTAACAACTGTGCTAGAGATCATTCTTGTGATATTTGTAAACAATGGGTCAGGTTTTTGACCATGTCTTAAAATCTGCCTGAGGCTAAATTTGAAGAATTTGAGACTAATTTTGTTGGCTGAGATTTCAAGACAGCCTATATTAACTCTGCCCAGTGGTTATTAATAATCATGCTTATGCAGATCTATGGTAAAAAGGAGCAAGCAAGGCGAAAAGAAATTCATTTTGAGGAGAAAAGGAGCCCCAGGAAATACAATGTTAGAGCCAAGGCTTGTGCTGAAAGAGATAATGAGGCCAGATATATTAAAGGGAAAAAAGGGAGTGATCCTCTCAGGACAAACCCCATATAGCTAACCTTGCAACTCATAAAAAGGAAGGTTTATGCAACAAAGGAAATCTTATGCAAATATAATTCAGGGAGGGGTCAGGTTGAATCCCAAGCAGGCAGCCCAGTTTTAGAGCATTGGCCAAGAGGTTCTGGCTGTAGAGTTATAAAAGATACAGGAATAAAGGTGTTGTCGTGTTGTCTTCCTCCACGTTAAGAAGAGCTACTGAGACCAGGAATGAGGCAGGGGAGTCGCTGAACATAGGCCTGAAGAGTGGAGATTTGAAAGTAAAGTTGTGATTGGGTTCAAGACCCCAAGAAGTAAGAGGTGCCAGGGGCAGAAAATGTCTGCCCAGGAGAGCTGCAGATAAGGAGTGGAACTAGTCCAAGAGTGAGGAGTGTGTTGTAGTCAGCAAAGGTGGAATTGCAGTCATTTGAACCTTTTGATATCAGACATAGAACAACATTATTTTGAGTTTGTCTTGCTTGGTCTCATTATTGCTTTGATCTATCCCTGCTTTTAGAATGGTAATATGTATTCTCAGTCACTGTATGTTAGAGTTATTTAATTTGCTTTTTGAATTTAAAGGGAGTTAGTTACAATTAAAAGAGTGCCTTGAGTCTCAGAAGAGACTTTGGACTTTTAAATTGCATGGGGTCTGTGAAAGACTATTGGGACTTTGAAGTTGGATTAAATTCATTGTATATTATGATGTGACCACAAGCCTAAGGGGGTCACAGAGTGCATTGTGGTGGTTTGAATGAGAATGAGAATATAGGCTCATATATTTGATTTCTTAGTCCATATGTAATAAAATTCTTTGAAAAGGATTAGGATGTATGTCCTTGTTGGAGGAGATGTGCCACTGGAGGGGTAAAAGGCTAAGAGGTTTCAAAAGACTCATGCTACCCCCCCAGTGAGCTTGTTCATCCTCCTTCTTGAAGATAAGCACATAATCTCTCAGATATGCTCTGAAGCCATCACTACCGATCTGCTTCCGTGATCTCTACCCTTGAACTCTGATCTGAAACTGTAAACTGAAATAAACTTTTTCTTATAAAAGTATCCCTGGTCATGGTATCTTACCACAGACACTGAAAAGCTTTCCCCTCTCTCTGATTTTCTTCCTCTTTTCTAATAGTCCCCATTACGTGCCATTTACTCATTATTAATATTTATGTGTATGTGTGGGCCTAAGCATACATATATGCATCCCATTCATGCAGTAGCCTAGGCAGATTAGAAAAGGTATGGAGTCCTCTGTAACTGGAGTTACAAACACCTACGAGTTGTCATGTGGTGCAGGGATCTGAATCGAAGTCCTACGTAAGAGTAGTAGTTGCTCTTAATTGCTGTGCCATCTCTCTTAACGATATCATCTATTTCCCATTAGTTTTCACACATGACCGAAAGGATGACATACTTGTCATTCTAAGTCAAGCTTATCTCACTCAATAGGATGGCCTCTAGTTTCATCGTTCTTCCTGTATGTGACATGATTTTGTTCCTTTTTGTGTTTGAACAACACACCATTGGCCATGCACAGTATTAATTTTCCACTCATTTCTTTGGAGAACATTAAGGCTGATTCTCTCAGTTGGCTCTCATGAATAAACATAGCCAGATATATAACAATGCCCATTATCTACTATCTTGGACTCCCTCAGGTGTATGCACAGTAGTATTATAACTGAATCACGTGATAGCTCTATGTTGGGGTATGTTGACAAATCTGCATACTGGTTTCCTTAGTAACTGTACTCACTGATATTCTCACTGCATTACACAAAGGGAGCTTGGGCTTTTAAGCTTCTGACATCATTCAGTCAAACTTAAAAAGAATTGACTAGGACCTCATCAATCAAATACTCTACTTTTAGGATAGCATTTGGAGCATGTTCATTTTTCAAGACACAAAGATCTTGTTGATGCCAGATACTTGCTTTGAGAAAATAATGGGATAAAAATATATATTTGGGAGAACTGGACTGAGGAGTTTATGATTTAGAGTTTACATGTAGTTTCACATTTTAGCTCCATTTACATGTTAATATTTAAAATGTAAATGATGTCATCTGTCTTTAACTATTTATCTAAGTGGCGGTGGCTCTTGGAGCCAAAAGTGAGCAAGCACCCTAAACAATAAGTAGAAATGCAGGTAAATCAAAGCAACTGGGAAAGCACAAGTCATCTGAACAGACAGCCCTGAAGAGAAGCTTGGACCTAATGAACGGAGTCAGTAAGCAGATGCCAGCAGGAAGACAGGCTTTCATCTGGTGACTCTTCAATTGTGACTCATTAAGCCAGCTGTGATGTGAACGGGGACATTCCAGGTACTCCCCAGGTGTCAGTCTGCGGCTGTGAAGCAGAAAGGGGATGTCAAATTGCTGAGTTTCTGTCAGAAAACTGACACTAGAGCCAACAAGTTTTTACACTGACTGTTGACATACTGACTCAACATTCAATCTTCATGCCAAAAGAAACCATGGGGAGCTCCACCCTTCAGTGGAGGACCACATCTCCAAGCACCCTGCAGGAAACACAAATTGAATGTTGGGATATGTAATGGAGACTATATTTAATAAGGCACTGTTTCAGCAGATGCCACTGTGATTTCTCTGCATCAATGAGTAGGCAAGAATTACATTGATACTATGATTACATTTTTATACTATAATACACCATGCTTTGTTCTACTAATATCAGAATGCTTAACGAAAAATTTAGAGAATTCTTAAAAGCTAAAAAAGACTTTACACATTTGCAAAAGACTAAATTAGATTTAAAACAATTTATATATCACATGATTATCACTGTCAAAATTCAATGTTAACTCTATCCACTCAAATAAGAGTCGTGTAAGCTTCATGTGCTAGATGGTAATTTGAACTTTGATATAATTTATTAGCATGTATATCAAAGATCATATGCACATACAGCTTTCCATTGTGGCTTATATGGAAATTACTATCTGAATGTTTAATATGGGACACTGAGTATTCGGTGGTTTCACTTTGGGTTCTAATGAGTTTGCTAATTTATGAAACACGTAAGGTTAAAATTTGTAAACTATGTTGAGACGAGATCAGAGTCAAAGAATTATGGAAACATTTTTGTTTCAGACATTTGTAAATAAAATAAGATGGTTAATGGCTAACTCATTTTCTGATGCAAGCTCTTGATCTGTGGGAGCCAGGTTCAGCAAACTGGGAGTCAGACCATCATAAGATACTACACAATTTTTCCTGAGCCTTGGCACTTCACTATCTATTCCTGAATAAACAGACAAAGAACCCTACTTCCTCTTCCTCTAAACTTCCTCCCTGACTCAGCTCTCAACTCAGCAGTTCTCTAAGGGGCAGCTACAATCCTCCCTAACAAATCTCCTAAACCCACTAGATAAAGCATGTCCACACTGACATTTACGTATGTCAAATTTCAGTGCTTTCACTACCCTAAAGAATGCTTCTTTAGTGTGGATCACAAAGATCTTTGACCTTGGGCCTCTGGTGTGGGAAATCCTTCTGTATATGTGTTGCTTTTATTGGTTAATGAATAAAGCTGCTTTCAGCCAATGGCTTAACAGAATATAGCCAAGCTGGAAGATATATATGTATGGAGAGAGAGAGAGAGAGAGAGAGAGAGAGAGAGAGAGAGAGAGAGAGAGAGAGAGAAAGGTGGAGTCAGGGAGATGCCATGTTGCCACCAGAGGAGAAAGATGCTAGAACCTGTCAGTAAGCCAAGCCTTGTGGCAAAATATAAAATAATAGAAATGGGTTAATTTAAGATGTAAGAACTAGCTAGAAATACGCTTAAGCTATTGGCCAAACAGTATACAATTAATATTGTTTCAGTTTGATTATTTCAAGTCTGGGCAGACAGGAAATGAACGAGCAGCCTCCCCTAACAGGCCTCCCTCTTATCCCATCTCTGATTCATGCTCTTTTAACACACTCCCCGTTTCATCTGTCTTACTTCATGGCTTTTGGCTTTTGGACATAAGCTTTGTTTGCCATGTTTCACATCTTAGCTAAATCATCACCTGCAGAAAGTCCAACTTTACTATTCTATAAAGTTACACTGTATTTTTCTTCACAGTTTCAGTTAGAATCGCCATTATACATTTCATTAATACATACTTGATCATCTATCTCTTAAGTTAGACTGTGAAGCACATGGAGGCAGGAATTTTTTACTAATTTTTACCAATGTATTCCTAGGAGCTAGTTAGTAATCCTACTGAAGAATGGCAAGGGGCTGCCAAGGTAGTTCAGCCAGAAAAGCCACTGTGCCTGACAACTTGGGTTTGATCTCAGCACCCACATGGTGGAAGGAGAGAATTGTTGCATGGAAGTTGTGTTCAAGCCTTTATTCATATGCTATGTCATGCATAATCATTCATATACACAAAATAGAAACAAAAATAAACTAATAAAATCTTTAATAATAAAGAAAAAGTTGCCATGTTTTGTTAATCTGACTATACAGTACTCATCAACTTTTCAATTATATGTGAGTCATTGGCTAGTTGCTTAAACAGTAGTGAACTAATTAAGACCAATTATTCCAAACTACATGAGAAGAAAAACAGTACCCTCCCCTCTGGGGACAAACAATAAACCCCAAATAACTTACCACAGTCAATCTCATCTGTGCGATCTCCACAATCATCGACCAGGTCACAGAGCTGATGTCTTCCCACGCAAGCCTTTGTCTGTCCACACCAGAAGTGATCTGGCTCATCACAGCTCTCGACCGGAGGAGGAAGAGCACAACCTTCAAAATGAATGTCATCGATAGCAGAGACCCCACTATAAACCGACAGACTGACTTTCTTTAGTGACAGGTAGAAGGGCTCAGTGAGGCGTCCGAGCTGGACAGTTGCCTCTGACCATTGGTTTCCTTGGTTATATAGCACTCTCCAAAGGGCTGTGGCATCCTTGGAATTTTCTAGATGTAGTTGCAACTCAGCTGCTCCCACTGACAGTCCATAGTTATAAAACCTGAAAGAAAATCAATGTAAGACTTGAAAATGTTATAGGAGAGATTAGACAGTTAAATTTTGTACACCTTTGAACATCCACTGACATCAATTACTAATTAATTATGATAATGGACATATCTCTTTCCTACAGTAACTGCAGTTGCGTATTTACAAGAATTTATCTGTTGAGATGCACATTGTAGGGCTCTACAACCCTGGAACCTCTTGCAAAACACAGGGAGACTCCTAATTAAATTCAAATATAATGGTAGAAGGGAAGTCCTCCTTTCATCTTGAGAAATAAAATAACCAATGCTGATAATATATTCTGAAGTCAAATTATTTTAATTTAATGCAGTAGTCAACATAAAGTGTAACCATGGGTAAAGTTTGAATAGCTAGAACGTGTAGAGATAGGCCCGCAGTCATCCTCCCCCTAGGACAATTTACCATAATATAATAGTTACCAGAATGACAGTGTGCACTGGGGCCCTGTCTGGCTGAACGTTGGGCTCTGAAGTTTGGCAGTTTGAAACAAGTTGCTGCTGTTTTTCAAAATGAACATGAAATGCCCTGTAGGGATATAAAACCAAAGCATTAAGTTTACCTACTGGATTGGGTGAGGCAATGAAAGTTCTTCTGTCTCTTAATGCTATTCCAATAAGTTTCATGTCCAATTAAAATTAAAATTATACAACAATAAAAAGTCAACATGGATAGCAAATTTGCCTTTTTCAACATTTAAATGATGGAACTAGCCAATTAATAATTTCAGTCTATGCAGGCACAAATGTATCCATTCCAGTCATATCACCCATAAAGCAATCATTTCTTACAGACAGCACAATGGGTCTTCTGTGGTCTTCCGCTCCTGATATCTAACCAGCAGTCTATAGAAGAGTGAAAAGCATCTCTAGAGTTTTACCTTGAGCTGTGCCATGAGTGTGATCTCCAGGTGGGGCTTGCTGCTCAAAATCAGCAGAGAGACTGCTTTGAGAGCTCCACGTCCAGTCAAAATCGTCACCGCCACTGGCTTCAAACCACCCACAGCTGTTTGCTTCAAAGTCACAATCAGCAACTGAAGAAGACAAATGAGACTTTCCTAGATAGTGTCTACCTAGTGCCCTGCTTTGGGAAGGTAACTGTCAAGTGGTTATGCCCTCAGTGTGACAGAGTCACAAAAAAAAAAAAAAAAAAACTTTCCTGGTCTGAAAACAGGACATGCTTTACACACTACAAACAGAGAAGTCAGATTTTCAGAAATTCATTTTCCCCAAGCATTCTTTCTGAGACACAGCATTACTCAGCCACATTGCTTGAGTAACTGCTATCATTTGTAACTTTACTCTAATAATGTGTCATTTCCTGTCCTTCAGCACCAATGGGGCATTTGTTTCTAAAAAAACATTTTATATTAAATTGTTTACAACAGTCAGTGATCAGACATTGACACTGTAGAAGCCCCAGATCTACTTCCTTTCTCTCCTTTCTGACTTTACAAAGGTTGGTCTTTCAAACATCGCCAAGTTTGTCACCTGGTTTGTATAGAATAGAGAATGTTTTTCTAGGAAATATGTTCAGTTACCTTTCACAAAGCCTTCTAGAAAAGGAGGAGAAGGGAAGGGTTTATAGAAGCTATGAGCCACAAGAATGTAGTCCTAGAGCCAACAGTTCCCACAGACCTGCACAAGAGACTCTGTGCTGCACACTATATACAGTTCCACAACAGCCCTATACTACAGGTGATGAAGAGGGTGGTTCTTTCTGAGTATGTACTTTCACCAAGGTCACATTATGGTCAAGTTGTAGAGTGCGATTAGATATTACATGAAATATATTTTTACATGATAGTTGGAAAAAGAAAGAAAGAAAACCGTGCTTATTACATTGGGAAAAGCTAAGTGAAAAGTATAGTCAGAATTGGTAAAGTAAAATGTGCACCAAGTAAAAAGAATTCCCATTTGTGATCCTTCACCACCTCGAAGATTTGAAAAGTTCCAAAACATGTAGCTGGCATGTTAATCCCTGTGAAGAAGCAAAGGCTTTGATTCCTGCTTCAAACTTCAGAAAAGGATCTAAGAATTCTCGCCACAGAAATGCAGAAGGGAACACATTGTGATGTTCCCATATAATATGTACCTTGTACAGCTACCTGGAGAGGAAACCCGACTTTCTGATAACAAGGAACATGATGCTGCAGACATGGTGAGTACTCCAATGACAGCAGGGCTGGAAGCACACTGAGGTGACTAGGGAAAAGGAATTAGATTTCCAGGAACATAAGCAGGGTTATTCTCAATAGTCAAGAGTTGGAAATAAAGCAGGGAATGCAAACAATTCATACCCTTGGCTCCTGTGTGGAATCTAAAACAGTTGATCTCACAGAAGTTGAGAGTAGAAGATGGCTACCAGAAATGGGAGAGAGGGAAGGGGTGGGTGAAGGTTTGCTATTGTTTAGGTGGCCATGGTTGGGATGGGGCAAGAAGCCTTGATGAGCTATTGCATAGTGTGTTGCTCAAGCAGCATGATACTGTGGCTCCACATTACAAACAAGATTAAAGAGAGTTTTGAATATGCTTACCATAAGATATGAATATATTAAGGAGAGAGACATGATTTCTATTATTTTAATACCACTCTCTGTATATATGTATTTAAACACTGAATGGTACCATATAAATATGTACAATTTTTATGTATCAATGAAAAAATATTTTAAAAGAAAGCAATTTTATGGCTGAAAGATACTTAAGGACATATTCAACATCCTTAGTCATCAGAGAAATGCAAATCAAAACAACTCTGTGATTCCATCACACACCTGTAAGAATGGCAAAGATCAAAAACACTGATGACAACTTATGCTGGAGAGGTTGTGGGGAAAGGGGAACACTCCTGCATTGCTGGTGGGAATGCAAGCTGGTACAAACCCTTTGAATGTCAGTGTGGTGATTTCTCAAAAAATTAGGAAACAACCTTCTTCAAGACCCAATACAGGACCGCGAGGGATGCACCCATACACTGAGACAATGGGGATGTTCTATCAGGAACTCACCAAGGCCAGCTGGCCTGGGTCTGAAAAAGCCTGGGTCAAAACCGGTCTCGCTGAACATAGCGGACAAGGAGGACTACTGAGACCTCAAGAACAATGGCAATGGGTTTTTGATTCTACTGGACCTATTGGTTTCGTGGGAGCCTAGGCAGTTTCGTGGATGCTCACCTTACTAGACCTGGATATGGAGGTGGGTGGTCCTTGGACTTCCCACAGGGCAGAGAACCCTGATTGCTTTTTGGGCTGACGAGGGAGGGGGACTTGATTGGGGGAGGGGGAGGGAAAGGGGAGGCGGCGGTGGGGAAGAGACAGAAATCTTAAATAAATAAATAAATAAATAAATAAATAAATAAATAAATAAATAAATAAATAAAAGACCCAATAATACCACTTTTGGGTATATATCCAAAGGATGCTCAATCGTGCCACAAGGACATGTGCTCAACTATGTTCATAGCAGCTTTGTTTGTCATATCCAGAACCTGGAAACATCCTAAATGCCCCTTGATTGAAGAATGGATTATAAAAATGTGGTATTTTTTTTTATTGTAGTACTACACAGCAGAAAAAATAACGACAGCTTGAATTTTGCAGGAAAATGGATGGAGCTAGAAAACATTATTTTGAGTGAGGTAACCCAGACACAGAAAGATAATTATCGCTCATAGGTGGTTTTTAATCATAAAGCAAAGAAAGTCAGCCTACAACACAATCCCAGAGAACTTGACAACAATGTAGACACTAAGAGAGACTTACTATAGATATAATCTACATGGGAAGTAGAAAGTAGAAAAAGACAAGATCTCCTGAGTAAACTGGGAGCATGGGGACCTTGGGGGAGGATTGAAGGGTGGAGGAGAGAGGCAGGGAGGGGAGCAGAGAAAAATGTAGAGCACAATAAATATCAATAAAAAATGTATAAAAAAGAAAGCAATTTTAATAGAAAAATGCTATTAAAACTCAAATGTGATTTTCTACTTTTCCTTGTTCCCAGGTTCTTATGCACATTTAAAAAGCTTAATTACTTATAAAAATAATAATGAAATTAGTCTCCAGGCTAACTATTAATTGCAGATATATTTCACTAAAATAGTCATGGACAATTATGCATGCCATAACCATTTTTGACTGAGAAACTCAATGCACTGGGTACATATGAATAATTGAGGTTCGAAGATTTGTCACTGCTTCTGAAGCATTATTAACTTCCTCAGTTATATCCACTGAAAGCAATGCATGCAAAACAATGCCACAGTCACCACTTGCTTGGAGCACATGTGCAAGAGACTGCTCTAGGGCAGGTTCCATTTTTAACAGAATTCCTGGAACTTATGCTTATCTTTTCTATGACTATGGGTTGAGAAGCTAATGATTCTACAGTGGCTTTTAATTATTGTTAAAAAAATTACCTAAGTGTCCTTTATTAATTATGTAATTATAATTACACTTGTTGCCTCCGGGGAGAGGTGATAGGAGATACTTGGTGGACTGACAAATAGGCTCAACACTGTCAGGTTTGTAGCCGTTTGCTGAGTAAGAAATCAAATTGGTATGGAACTTAAGAGCACTTTTGACTAAATATCCAACCTTAGACCCTGTCTTATTTTGGATTTCCTATCTAGAACTTCTTTGGTGGTTTCAATGATCCCATTTGGGTTTAATGAAAGGAATAAGCACAAAATATAAAAAAGAGAATACTGAACTAATAATATGGGCATCACACAAAGCTTAAAAAAACTTTCTTATGAAATACGCTCAAATGTATAATGAGGCTTATACACAAATCCTTTCATCTTAGCCTTATAGGCAGATGCCCATGTTGAGTTGAAAAGATATTAAGAAGATCTTGTGAAGAATGGTTTTTAAAAGTTAGAGTCTGGACTGGAGAAACAGATCAGGGGTTAAGAGCACTTCCTGTTCTTCCTGGAGACACTGGCCTGACTCTTAGCACCCACATGGTAGCTCACAATTGTCTATTGATCCAATTTCAGGGGATCTAACGCCATCTTCTGGCATCCCTGGTACCAGGTAAACATGTGATGCACAAACATTACTGCAGGAAAGGCATCCATATATGTAAAAAATGAAACAAAATAAATTTAAAATAAAAGTTAAAATCTAATGCTCTTTCAAAGATCAGCCCTGTAGATCACAGGTATCCGAGCAGTCATTAATTCTCTGTTGAAAACATCTTGAAACACCTGCTGTCTTATTTAATCTCCAAGAAATACCACAGAACTATTACCATACCTTAAAAATGTTTTATGACATTTAATTGTGTGAGTGATAAGATGGCACATGCTACCTGCATGCAGCAATCAGAAGACAACTTGCAAGAGTCCATTCTCCCTTTTTTGGCAAAAGATGTCAATGAACACAAAGACCAACAACTGGGCATTATGTGGAGAATAAAAGTCTTTGAAGTGTTTAAGCCTACATGGGACATTTATACCACATACCTGTCCCGTAACACTCCAGGTTCTTCAGGGAAGAGGGAATAGAAAATGTAAGAGCCAGAAATGGCAGGTACTTATAAGGAAACATTGTCTTCTGGACACCAAAGGGCAGATGCACATATGAACTCTTCATGATTGTGACAGCATGCATAAGGCCTGTGCACACTCTAGTCAAACAAAATCCTAGCATGGAATAAGGAAGGTGGACACCAATAGCTAAAGGACTATTTGGGATTTTACAGCTTCTGAGACAGGGAGAATTAGTTTTGTTTAATAGTGTGACTCCTTGTATATTGGTACCACTCCAGAGCAAACCCCACCCCCAAGAGCAATTGGAAACAGAAACTGGACTCGCTGTTTTCAAGAAAATTAGAGAGTGTTCAAGAAGTTGAGTGGGGAGGGTGACCGGAGTAGATCTAGAGAGAGAGAGAGAGAGAACCTGTCACAAAAATATAAGGTGGAGAATAGCCCAGAAAGACAGCTGACAATGATCTCTGACCTGCATACACATAAGTATATACCCACAAGTATATACCTCACTCACACTGTCACACTCACACAGTCTCAGACACATGCCCTGTCACACATGCACTATCTCACACACATACACTGTCTCTCACACACACTGTCTCATACACAGTCTCACACACACACACTCTCACACAAACATTGTCTCACAAATGCACTGTCTCACACACACATACTGTCCCCCCACACTGTCTCACACACACTGTTACACACACAGTCACACATACACACACTTTGTCATATAAACACATGTACACACACATTAATACATATATGCACACATGCACACAAAATCACACGCTAGACCTCTAGCTTTTTTGAGCTTCCTGAAAGGTGCATGAAGGATAAAAGTTGAGTATCCAGTGTGGTGGATTCTGTTCATTGAGGTCAGGCTTTGATTATTTTAATTTTGAGTGCATTAGTGCTGTATCCCCTATTTTGAGTATATTCTCTACTTTTGTAATTATTTCATTTCAGCTTTTTATCATGCCTTTAAGTGATTATATGCTTGAAGTTAAGATAAAGTTGAAATAATTGAGCTCTGAACTTCATCAATAGTTAATTTAAAATACAATATAAAACAGGGAGAAACGATTTGGAAATGAACTATGTAATAAAAAAGAAGTCTGTGTAAATGAATAAAAGGAATTAATCAATCTAAAGTCAATGCATAAACAACAAAACAGCATTTGATATTCAAGATTATTGTATTTTAAAGAATAATGGTTCATTATATTATCATATATATTTTAAAATCCATAAATTTATATTTATCAGTGAAAATAAATTTAAAACACAAATTCTCCTATTAAAAACTTATAACTATAATATGGTTTTAGAAGAATTCTGTGATGCATCTAACACAGATTCTGTTAATAGAATATTCTTCATGTATCTCTCATGTTTTGGCATCCACATATGATGGGATCCAATCATTGACTACCCTTTGTCCAAAACTGTACTTTTGAGAGAATTAAATATCAAATAGTCTCACTCTGCATAGGGCAAGTGACTATTCTACACAATAAGGGCAAAGTTTTTATAAAGCTCACTAATAATCAGGTTGGTTTGCAGTCCATTTGTAAATGATTTTGTCCACAGAAGCATGGGACACCCAATTGCTATGCAAACCTACTTCAAATGCACATCTTCCTGCAGTTCTGTGTTCCCTACTTAAAGGGGCAAGGAAGACCAGCTCAGACATAAAGGCTACATTGAGTATCATATTCATAAATGAAAAAGTCATCTGTGTCAGCTAACAATTCCCCTCTTTCACCAGTATCCAAAGGAATTATAGCAACACCAAGTTGTTAGTTAACAGAGAGGGAAAAATTCCAGAACCATCATAGTTCTTGACATATTCTATCAATTAGGAATCTAGAATTTATAAACGGTAGGTAATTATGGCAAAATAACAAGTACCATGTGTTCACTTATTCCTTCAATCATTCATTATGCACTCATTTAAAAATACCTGATAGAGAACATGTTATATATCTGTGAAAATGTAAGAAGTAAGACCACAACTGTAAATATAAAGGGGGAAAATAATAATGGGATGGAGAGACAGCTCAGTGGTTAAGAGCACTTGTTGCCCTTCAGGAGGACCTAGTTCTATTCCAAGCACCACATGGTGGCTCACAGCCATCTATAATTCTGGTTCTAGGGAATAAGACACTCTATCTGGCCTGTGTTGGCACTAAGTATGTACATGTACACAGACTTCCATTAAAGGAGAATACCCATAAAATTAAAAGACAAAAAAAAGCAGGAAAAAAATACCTGTTACACTGAGGGACTGAGCAAGGGAGCATTAGCAGAGATAAAAAATAATTGATGATAAATAGATGGATAATGACAGATAGATAGATAGATAGATAGATAGATAGATAGATAGATGATACTGAACAGATAATGATAGGCAGATAAGAGATCATCACCAGAACAATGAAGTGTCTAATATGTGTATCTAGGAGAGAAGTTCTGAGGTTGTGAAGAACACAGTAAAGAATGTTTTTAGAGAAAAATTGGAGAAGAGGAAAGCATCTGGAGTAGTTGGTGAGGAAGCAAGCCTACACTGTGCACAGAACACTCACACAAGGGGAACAGCAAGAGCCTCAAGACCAGAGCTAGAACGTAGAGAAAATAAATGCCTCTATTTTATAAATAGTAAAAGAATAGGAAGAGGGGAGGAAAGCAAGGAAGAAAAAAATTATGAATGATAAAATTAGATATCTATAATGTTCAATGAGATGAGAAACAAGTGAGATGCTTTAAGTGTGTGAGTGAAAAAATCTACATAAAACATCTCCCTGGACACCTGCGAGCCCCTCTAGAGTCAAGTCTCTTGCCAACCCTAAGATGGCTTCCTTAATTAGGATATATACTTCCCTGCTCTCTTATCCACCTTTCCTTTATCCCAACCATCCTATTCCCCCAAGCTCCCCCCATCCTCCCCTTCTCACTTTTCTCCCCCATTTCACCTTACCCCCATCCCACCCCACCCCTAAGTTCCCAATTTTTGCCCAGCAATCTTGTCTATTTCCCATATCCAGGAGGATAACTGTATGTTTTTCTTTGGGTTCACCTTCTTATTTAGCTTCTCTAGGATCACAAATTATAGACTCAGTGTCCTTTATTTATGGCTAGAAACCAATTATGAGTGAGTACATCCTATGTTCATCTTTTTGGGTCTGGATTACCTCACTCAGGATACTGTTTTCTATTTCCATCCATTTGCATGCAAAATTCACGATATCATTGTTTTTTACCGCTGAGTAGTATCTTGGGCAATTGAGGAGAGGGAACCTGAAATAACCCTATCCTATAGCCATACTGATGAATATCTTGCATATCACCTTAGAACCTTCATCTGGCGATGGATGGAGATAGAGACAGAGACCCACACTGGAGCACCGGACTGAGCTCCCAAGGAGCAGAAGGAGGGAGAACATGAGCAAGGAAGTCAGGACCGCGAGGAGTGCACCCACCCACTGTGGGGCTGATCTATTGGGAGCTCACCAAGGCCAGCTGGACTGGGACTGAATAAGCATGGGATAAAACCGGACTTTCTGAACATGGCGGACAATGAAGGCTGATGAGAAGCCAAGGACAATGGCACTGGGTTTTGATTCTACTGCATGAACTGGCTTTGTGGGAGCCTAGCCTGTTTGTATGCTCACCTTCCTGGACCTGGACGGAGTGGGGGAGGACCTTGGACTTCCCACAGGGCAGGGAATCTGGACTGCCCTTCAGACTGGAGAGGGAGGGGGAATGGAGTAGGGGGAGAGGAGTGGGGAGTGGGGGAGAGGAGTGGGAGAAGGGAGAGGGAAATAGGAGGTGGAGAGGAGGCAGAAATTTTTTTCGACAAAAAAAATAATAAATAAATAAAATGTAATATCAAGACCAAAAAATCTACATAAAACAATATTTTTATTTTATATGCTAAATAGATATGAAATAAATATTTATGAACACATATTTCATATATAGTTATATATATTTACTCCATAAAAGAATATATATACAAATTATAAATGAATAATAAAACCTATAAAATAAGGATATTGTAAAAATCTAGACAAGGAGGGAATACATGCTTGGTAATATAAACATAGCCAAAAGCTTATGTCTAGGTATATCACAGGCCCTAGGGGGTATTCTATTATTGATGTTTTGCTAAATGGACATGTAGTCACTGTGCATTCTAAGTATTTATATTTCTGTATTGACTAGTGCAGTTCTAATCTTGGTCAGAGATTGCTTTTACATCCAACAGTAGTTAAGGCAGATACTCATGGACAGGCAAGGTTCTAGAATAAGTGACTCTTGAGTACTTGGTGATGAATGAGTATCTATGTCAACCTCCTTCAGGGCTCAGGGAGTGTCATGGGAGAGGAGGTGAAACCATTGTACGAGATAGATGACAGAGAGAGGAGTGTAATGAAGTGCTGTCTCTAGGATATGACATGGTGTTGCAATAATGAATTCACAGGAGCTGTGGCTATCTACATACATTCACACAGACAAACACACACATACACACAGGCACGCAGACGTAGACAGACACACACAGAGACACATAAATACACACACACTGACATGAAAGTAGGAGGGGACTATTTAAGAAGGGAGTCAGCAGGAGGAGAATAACAGAACAAAAGGGGGAGGGGTAATAGGGAGACCAATATAATTGCAATACATTGCAAACATGTATAAGATTATCCAAAAATAAATAAAAAATGATAAATTTTTAGGCTGATGTTGCACACCAAACTTGTAACAAGAGATTGTTAAAACATGAAAATGAAATTTAATACAACAGAAAATCTCCCAACATGAAAAGCCAGGGATTTGGCAGACTTTAGATGTTCAATGTCAGTTCCTGATACCAAAACATGATTACATTCTCTCTCTCTCTCTCTCTCTCTCTCTCTCTCTCTCTCTCTCTCTCTCTCTCTCTCTCTCTCTCTCTCACACACACACACACACACACACACACACACAGAAAGAGAGAGAGAGAGAGAAAGAGAGAGAGATATAAAGTTCTTATACAACTTACTTTCAAGTTCAATTTAACAACACCTAAAATGATTTAAAAAAAGA